ATCAATAATATAATAATACTTTTAGCAAAAATGTTTATTTTTAATTCACAATCTGTAGAAGCAATGAGAATAGAAAGGTTCAGAACTTGAAATATATATGGCAAATATAAATCCTATATGGATGGTGTTAAGAGATAGATGGGAGGTATTGAATAGAGTTGAAGGATGGGACTAATAATAAATAACAACAAATAATAACAAAGATAGCTAATAATGTAAGCATACTGTGTCCATAATAAGTATATAGGTTGTATGTTGGGAGCTTTTGGGAAAGAGCACAGTTAGAAAGATATGGCATATAGAAGCAAACCGGATGGACATCATGAGTAGAAGAAGTTCAGGAGCAAATATATATATATATATATATATATATATATATATATATATATATATATATAATAGAATTATTGTAAAATTAACTGTGTCCATAAGGTGTAGATAGTAAGTATAGACCGGAAGTAGAGGCCTGGGCATTGTTGTTCACTAATTTACTCCAAGTAGGGAAAGGATGGCGGGGTTGAAAAGTAATAAAGGGGAGTATATATATAAAAAACATGGGGGATTGGAAGTGATGCAGACAGTTACATTGATAGAAGATACAATCTATCTGCAATATTAAGCTGATCCATCCCCCCCAAAAAATAAAAAAAAATAATAATATTTGCATTGGGTTACTGTAAACTGTTGCCTGAAGCAATATTACCAATGGTATATTTTTCTCTCGACGTGAAGTGCTAGTGTTTGCAGGCAGTGTTTTTTGTCAAAAAAATTTATTTCCTTTTTTGGTTTCCTGCCCCTAAGGCAGAGAGAGCAGAGAGTATAATTTACTGACATCTGACGTCATGGCTGCAATTACCATAGAGGAGATAAGAGATGAGGAAACAGGGGCTGGTGTATGAGTGAGTCATGCAAACGCACAGACTGATAAGTCCGACAAAGATAGATCATATTCATCAAATCCAAAACTCACACACAGTCAAGTCCAATGAAGGAACAAGTACAGACACCACCTCAAGGATATGTGAAACCAATGTGAGCACAGAGAGAGAGACACACAAAAAGTGCCAAAGAATCGAGAACTTGTGAAGTAAGCCACATAGAGAAACTGGTTCTACGAAAAACAGCTGTCTATATTTAATCAATGCGAATAAACAAGGAGTTTAAACAACTCATTTATAATTTAGATTTGCATACATTAAACTGCTCATTTTAATCTTTTTATTAATATGCATGGCTGATATTGTATAAATATGCAGCTTTATGCAAATACTAGGCACATTTTCTGTTTGTATTTAATTCTATTTCCCAGCTGTGGTTCATCATTTTCTTTCAAGGCAACAGATTAAACCAAATATTAAGTCACAGCATGGGAGCGTATAAATATTTCTCTATTAAAACTCAGAAGACCATGCTACTGTATCAGCATAAAAAATGCATGAAGTAAAAAAATATTTTAAAAAACAGTAAGGGGAGACCGTGTGTTGGTTGTCTCACGGGTTGGTTACCATGGTGCTTATTACTCCTAATCTAGAGGGTGCTGTGTAATAATTGTAAGATTAAACTGTGTGAATTCTTTGAAAGAACTCATCCACCTGGTCAATTCGTGTCAGCATGAAAAAACAGGGAGGTAGTGCTGAGCAATTAGTGCTTTTTGAGGTTGGTTCAATTTCGGTTCGATTATTAACAAATGATCACGGTTTTCGATTTCGGTTTCGATTATTTGGGTTGAATACTGTAACAACATAGAATAAAACAATTAAAAGTCTGATGATGGTAGTGACTGCCCATGTACTGCTTATCACTTATTAACCATCATTTATTCACATTAATTTAATAGTATATTTCACTTGTATATATTACATTTATTTTATTTGATGACTTTATTATTTCATTCCAAGTCATCTCATCTCTATAGAGCTGCTGTCTATGCTGTCTGACAAAATCACTATTTTGTAGTTCTTCAAAGTAAATAAGGCATATTTTTATGACTGCTGAATACCAACTATTAATCACTTAGATCATGTATTTTCAGGTAGAGATACCTCGCAAAGCAACAGCTGCTCTCTAGATCCCCTCACCATCGCACATTCTTCTGCCTCTCACTCCATCATTTTCTCACTCACACATAATCTGCATGTACATTTATACTGACTCTACACACCCGCACACCCACTCACATACAAGCTGCTGCCACTCTGTTTATCTTATATCCTGTTTCCTAGTCCCCGTAGCCCCATACATATCTACCTCCATCACTCCAGTCTCCCTGCACATGTGAATATGGTATTGGAACTGACTTTTTAACTATTTCCTATATATAGTATGCTTACTTACTTTATTGTGTATCTCATATTTCCTATTCTTATTTCTCATGTGTTTTTTTTCTAGTAATACATTGTTATTAATTATTGCATTGTTGGGTTTTGAGTTTGCAAGAAAGGCATTTCACTGTACTTGTGCAAGTGACATTGAAACTTGAAACTTGAAACTCTTCTGAAGCAGGCATAAAAGAAACACAGACCAGACAAGTAGATGCGCAATGGATTATGGTCATTGTAGTTAATTACCAAGTTTTATGTGCTAAACTATGTAGAATATTGGCCTGTTGAAAACTACAACTCCTTACTACATCGCACAGTTAAGGCTGGATCTGATTTATCACTCAAGAGAAACTAGATTTCAGCTAATCACTCCACCACTTCATTGCGGTGAGGGGATTTATGTGTTTTTCATAGGTGAAGGTAAAAATAAGATGTCTTGGTATTTTCTTCATGAACGTTTGAATTATGGGAGTATACATGAAACATGTTGTTGAAAAGAGGAAAGGGAGAGCTACATTCCAAACCTATTTCTGAGTTGCTAGGTCAAGCCATGTGGTAACTAGCATCTTAATTAGCATTTAGGGGGTGGTTGGGGATGGTTATCACATGGAATGTGGGGTTGGTTGTCACTGTCAACTCCATTATAACCATATTGTTCAGGGACATTGCAACTGCCAGTATACAATAAATACCAAGCTCTTTTGTGCTGTTGCTACAGAGACCTCTCTTCCCAGTAAACACAAACACCTTTGGCCGACATATCAAAATGTGTTGGGAATATGTAGTGTGGAGACGGTTTGCATATTTGGAAGACGTCGCCACGACACCAGAATAGAATGTAGATGCCTGGGCGATGTATAAATGATGTAGAACTGTAGAATGCAGGTATTCTAAATAAGTCTCTGTGAAACGTCTTGCCAATTAGCAAACGATGTCTGAACTGCATCTTCCCGATGCATCATGTATATACTGTATGTACAACTTATGGCCAGAGGTATCTGGTTTTGTTGCCTCTCTCTCACACAATGTTTTCTGTCACACACATATGTTGTTCTCAAGGCATAAAATGCTGAATTTTGTTAGGAATATCGTTCAATCTAAGAAAGGCTATTTCTAAGACTGTTTGCTATATTGCTTCATTTCCTGTTACAAAAGGAATAAGCTACTAGCAAACACTGTGACAACCAACCACATACTGTGTGACAACCAACCCTGCGATGGGGCTGCTTGTCACAAGTGGACAGAGTGTGTTTGATGGCTTATAACTCCTATTTCAACCCAATACCTTGGTATTTCTATTAATGTAGAAAAGAGTCTAAAAAGTGACAACCAACCCCAGTCTCCCCTACTTGTTTGACAAGGCACCAGACACCAAGTCTACATCTCTGAACTACATTCTATTTTCCCCTCCAAATATTGTTTTGCATCAATCAAATATTTTCATTCCAGCCAGTTGCTGTTTTTTGAGATTACAACAAAATCCAAGTGCTCTAGAGACTAGCTGCGACATGCCATGCCTCTTTTATTGATGAGCTTGACTCATTTTCTGATGGTTTACAGGGGATGTCCTACATGTCTCTGATGTTCTCACTATGTCAATACAAATCTCACATAAATATTTCTACAACTTCACAAAAGTTGGGCGAACATGGTTTATGGTTTTGTTTCTAAATATGTACTGTATATGAAGGAATTATGTTTTTCCCTCTACATCCTTGATCTCTCTCTCTCTCTCGCTCTCTCTCTCTCTCTCTCTCTCTCTCTCTCTCTCTCTCTCTCTCTATTAGTCCTATGTACGGTATATACAAAATGTGCATCCAACGAAATGCTTACTTGCAGGTTCCTTCTCAACAATGCAACAACAATAAGAAATAATAAAAGATAAGAATACGAACATAAATTAAATGGCTTCGTAGAATTTAATCTTTTTTTTTTGCATAAGTATAATACAGAAAGGCACAATTTATAGTCCAATATTTACACCTTTTTTGTGGAAGGGGGGATTGGGGGGCAAGTGTTTAAATTGTGCAGTATTTAGCAATCATATTAAGAGTCTGGTAGCAGTGTGTGTGTGTGTGTGTGTGTGTGTGTGTGTGTGTGTGTGTGTGTGTGTGTGTGTGTGTGTGTGTGTGTGTGTGTGTGTGTGTGTGTGTGTGTGTGTGTGTGTGTTCAACAATGTATAACAATGTTATAACAATGTTACACACTAGATAGCGTTGTGGGAAATATCTATCAATGCACAAGAATCTGAAAGACCGTTCGCTCACGTGTCTTTTATCCAGGACTTCGATTCAGTCTTTGTTAAAAACAAGCAACTTTATCCATGATGAAGTGTTAAAAGTCATGAATAAGGCCAACAGGCTCCGAGGTGATGTATCTTTAAGAGCGGAACCCTCTGCTGAAACAACCCCCAACAAGTCATTGAATCTGTCAATCACCGGTCGGCGATCTTTGATGTTGGGAGCCCTCGCCTTGTTTCGAGCTCAAATGCACTATTTGTTGCTGCCGGGCAACATTACTTTCAACTTGCAGGGCCGCTCCGCAGCAGAGCAACTTTTGTTTTGTTTTATACTTTGGCCGTACCTGAGTGCAACAAGCTAGGGAGGTTTAGGTTTATAGGAAGTTTCCTTTATTTTTTCAAAGGAGCGCACCGCTGATTAGGGTAATTTTCAAAGCAACATGCCTCAGCTCAGTAGTGGTGGAGGAGATGATCAAGGAGCAAACGATGAAATGATATCCTTCAAGGATGAAGGCGAACAAGATGAGAAAATTCAAGAAAACGCTTTCACAGAAAGGGATTTAGCTGACCTCAAGTCGTCTCTGGTGAATGAATCGGAGACAAATCAAAGTCCGAACGCAGCGGTAGGTTACAGAGAGAGAGAGAGAGTTCTTATGTTAAGCGCTGTTGGTAAGATTGAAAAGGTTCTTTGTATGAAACTTTTGCATCTTGTTCAAAGTAATTCTCAGGTTACTAATCTATGTTTACTGTTGCTTTGGACACTCAGGCGGTCAGACGGGGTCAGCAAAACGAACATAGAGGTTATCAAGAGAAACACCGGGAGCATCTCGACAGCGGTAAGAACTAAGAACGAGACAGTAGCTGAATTAGGCTAATTGTATCTCAGTGAAACAAGTTGTCTGTGATTTCTGACAATACTGTGCTGTTGCATCATAGACTGACTATAAAAGGAAGGTGTTGCCTTCCCTGGGCTACATAGGTTATACCATGGTAATAAGGGTTCAGGTAGCTTCGTTCTGAAAGACCTAAATAAAATCTAAATAAAAACATGCTTTAACTTAACATTAGGTTTATTTATTGTCCCTATGGGGCCAAATCTGCCAAAAACACAAATGTTTGCTTGCTGTGCTGAACCTCAAATTTCAGGGCAGCTAAAAGTTATTTAAAGTTAGAAATGTTCATTAACAATGTTTGAATATGGCAAGTAACTCACAAAACTTTATCCACTTATGCATTCAACTGAAAGGTTGAAAACAAGCCATGTGGATCAATGACCCTCTGTTTGGACAGGCTGTAAAGATGCATTGCACATTTTAAGTTACCATCAACACTCTAGACTAGAGAGATCAGTGGCTAGCCATTGTAGTGGGTGACAAACAACAAAGGATTGGGGTTTGCCTGTGTTTTTGTGATGCAAGATTACGGCTGTCACTTTGTCTCACAAATATGTGACAGTAGTAAAACAAGTCTGTAACATAGAATCTCTCGAAGAGCTCTATCATTATTTGTCGAAAATACTTTTTCTAATAGTAAAAAAACTGCTTATTATAACCTTTATAACTACAATAGTTAAACAAAAAGCAAAAACAAATATGAATGATTCTTTGAAGGTAAATTAATATCAGAAAACATCTAATCTCACATCTTTGTCTTTCTCCACAGTGTCCAAACATCAAGATGGAGGAATGTACAAAACACCGTATCCAGGGTACCCGTTTCTCATGCTGCCCGACCCATACATCCCCAATGGATCAGTGTCACCATCTGTAAGTCCACATCACTTTACCTTCTACATCCCAATGTAGAGTTCCTCACTCTGTTGGGTCAGTATTGTTCATTATTCCAGGTCTCTGAATGAAACAATTTGCGATATCAGATGCGTCTTCGTTTAAAAGTCTATTATACCTGAAGTGAAATGCAAGGACAACAAACGAAGGAAATTAGAAAGTAAAAAAACAACAATCTAAAGTCATACGTGTCTGATGTGAATTACATCCGCATACAACCTTGAATATGGTTGGAACCAGTAGCACATCGAAAACAAAACCTATTTTAAGGCGTGACTAACTGACACTGAGAACGGTTACATGCACACAATAATATTATTATTATTGATAGTCAGATTACTATAATAGCTCGACTAATACGTTTACATGGACACATCTGAAATCAGGCTACCTGATGGGACTTTTGATAAATGCAGAAAATCACCAATCAAAATAAACCTTCTATCACAGTGACCATGTTATTCTGAGTTTGGATATAACGTTTGTATGGGAAAACTACTTTTAAGATGCATACTTTCAGTTGTTCCGAATTCACTTCACAATCGCTAAAGAGAGAGGCTCGCTCGGCTGGTGCTATCACATGCGCAGATCAAATACACAACTGGTGGAGTAGGGGCCTGAGGGCACACAATGTGTTGTGAAATCTGTGAATGTATTGTAATGTTTTTAAAATTGTATAAACTGCCTTAATTTTGCTGGACCCCAGATAATGGGGATCCATAATACATACAAATACAAACTGAAACTCAGATTAAGGTGTTTACATGTCCTAATAATACGACAGATAGCTCAGAAAACAAGGTGTTTTAATCGGCGTATGCAAATTCAATTATGACCGTACGCTGATTAAGATCGCAGAGTAAGGTGTTTACATGACTAATGCCATACTCGGCCTACTGCCATAATCAGTTAAATATAAATGTGCTTGTGAACATGCTCAATGTGGTGAGTCCCTCATTTTGCTTACACTTTTGTATGTTGTCTGTGTATTGGTTGGTAGCTTATAACATATAACATAAAGCTGCAATCAGCAGTTGAAACAATAGCAAAGTGTACTCCCCACCACTGTTTAGGTAAAAAGCAGGGGGGATAGGGCTGGAGAAAAGTAACCACTCTCAAATTCAAAGACAGAGCTATGGATGCAAGGACTGACCATCCATGATCTCAAAAGTATTCTTTAAAGCTATTTTAAGCCGTTTTAGGCTATACAGTGTTTGTTTACATTTACTTTGTTTACAAACATTGGAGTAAAACAAGGTTATATTTTGGGTTCTGATGGGGTACGACAGTTGAACTAAGCTCATGAGGTATTTTTAAGTTATATTCTTCAATAATCAATGGGTACATATAATTAATGTATTAGTCCAAAAATGGATGTAGGAACTGCTGATTGCCCCTATCAACAAGGAACTATGCATCTTTCATCAGGTGAAGCACATTCTGCGATGTTAAATCTGTAATAACAGCAAGCACTCCCATATTAAGCATGGTGTTTTAAAAAAACATACTTTTCGGTCGTACGTTTCTGTCATCATTAATTCTACTCCAACAGTCTTTCTTTGATGTGTTCTGAAAGAAACGCTAGCACAATCAGAAGCTCTGTTTCAAATGGGGTCAGATATGAGACCTAGTCATGTTGTCACTCAAATTACCTAAAAAAGTGTCAGTTTGTGTGTGTATATGTGTATGCACGTCTGTGAGACAAATTTTATACAGACCAAAAACAGTCTTCTGTTTGTATTATAAGTAATGGCTACATTTGTCTCCAAATGCATCAGATCATTTATAAAATAATTAACACATTTTATTGAGCCATTATTACATAGACATCAGTTATCATTACGTAGTAAACACACACTGTGAAAACTACTCTTAACTATTCCCATTGTTATGTCCTGAAATGAATGTGCATTCATTTCTTCTTATGAATGCATCCCCCACTTCTTATCCTTAATTGCCTCGCAGCGCAAAGCACGGAGGTTCTCAAAGATTGTTTTGGGAATAAAGAGCACTTTCTTCTGTGTGTGAGTGAGTCTCCACGGCTCCATACAATGCTCACTTGTTGCTTCCCTTGTAATTACCCGGGAGCAGCACTGTAGCTGCAGATCTATCGACCTACCACTTGAAAGGAAGGGAGGATGGTGCAGATGGTGATTATAGCTTGGGACATGGCAATAGGGCGGGAGGGGAAACAGGGCTGTGGATCCCCTCCTGTTTGGTTCTCCAGTTGTAATGTTTACATTGAACAAGGTGATGTCTGTCTTCACTTCCCCTCACCCGCAGGCAGGCGCTCTGCTTCTATCTCAGCTCAGGTGGTCTATCATCTTTACAGGGGTTCATTTGTTGCTTTAATTTATCTTTGTTATTTTTAATTGGCAGATTATGTGTATTATATAGGGGGGGTTTGGTTACAATTAGTGAATTTACCTCCCAGAAACTATGAAAGAAATAGTATTCATTTTTTTGTCTGTTGTTTAGTCATGCCAAATGTCCTAGTAAAAACAATACTTTTTACACTATCCACGGGGTAAGAATGCTTTTTATAAGAATACATAAGACTATTATAAGACTAGTATTAGACTATTGAAAGGAGAATTCTAAAACATTACATTTCCTTCAATGAGTTCAAAGGCCTCACTAAACAAATAGTTTAATTAGCTAATTCTTCCCCCAGATAGTTGAATAACAATCATTATTTCAGGCTTAAAGTTATTAAACTCTTCAAAAGAATTTCACAAACATCGCACATCTATTCTGTTCACAGAAATCATTTTACAATGTCTCAAAACAAAACGCATGCGGCTGGAAAGCGTGTTCCTCCTAAGCCGAGTGTGTCCTAATACCCTTATTACAGAATTGTTTCATGGGACATGCCAGGGAATTATGTTCTGGATCTAACATTAATGTAGATATCAGTTGTCCTTCCAGAGACAGTGTCTAAAGAAGGCGATTTGAGACGATCCCAGATTCTGTACTAGATTTCCCTTAGCTTTTCTCTGAATAAAGCTTCCTCCTGAGTGTGTAGCTGTGAATCGAATAGGGTTAGTAATGCTCTGGATTACCAGAAAACATTGTTTAATTTGAGGGGATCAGTAGAAGAGGTTCGCCTGAAAGAGTCAAAGCCCTGTGGATGGAGGATTCTGACTGAGAGCCACCAGAATCTCTCCATTTCTCTCCTCTCTCTGCCTCCTCTCTAGCTCAATCCTCACCACAATACCCTCATCCTCATCTCCCAATCCATCTCTCTCCACTCTCTGCCTGCTCTCTCCTCTCCATCTCTCTCCTCTCCATCTCTCTCCTCTCTACCTCTCTCCTCTCTACCTATCTCCTCTCTACCTCTCTCTCCTCTCTCTGCCTCCTCTCTACCTCTCTCCCCTCTTTGCCTCCTCTCTACCTCTCTCTCTCCTCCTCTACCTCTCTCCCCTCTTTGCCTCCTCTCTACCTCTCTCTCCTCTCTCTGCCTCCTCTCTACCTCTCTCCCCTCTTTGCCTCCTCTCTACCTCTCTCTCTCCTCTCTCTGCCTCCTCTCTACCTCTCTCTCCATCTCTCTCCTCTCTACCTCTCTCCCCTCTCTGCCTCCTCTCTACCTCTCTCTCTCTACCTCTCTCCCCTCTCTGCCTCCTCTCTACCTCTCTCTCTCTACCTCTCTCCCCTCTCTGCCTCCTCTCTACCTCTCTCTCTCTACCTCTCCCCTCTCTGCCTCCTCTCTACCTCTCTCTCTCTCCTCTCTCTGCCTCCTCTCTCTCCTCTCTCTCCTCTCTCTGCCTCCTCTCTACCTCTCTCTCTCCATCTCTCTCCTCTCTACCTATCTCTCTCCTCTCGTGGGGGAGTCCTGGAGGGGTGAGGAGGAGGAGGAGGATGTTTGCGGTGGGCTGTGCTCATGGAGGGCTAGACAGTCAGGACAATCATCAGAGCCAAGAGAGCCTGTGATGTGGAAGATGTGGTTAACTTTGTGGATCACAGGCGCTAACTTGTCTAGCGGACAGACTGGGGCAGGTTTAAATCATATCCCACTTACCCTGTTCAGTTAGAATGTAAAGAACAGTTCATCACGGATGTGTTCACATTGTTTCTTTGTTGTATTGAAACTTGAGGACTTGCATAGAGCTAAGCAGTGAACACATTTAAAAGGCCAATTATTTGTTTCAAATATATCGAAGTGAGTTTTCATGAGCGGCTTAATGCTCTTAACTGAACTTTTGGGTGCTCCGCTTAAATTCTGTCAGTGAACTTTTTGAGTATCGTCATGCAGAAAACAGGATAAAATCTTTCTCTCTCTCTCGCTCCCTCTCTCTCGCTCTCTCTCCCTCTCTCTGTTTGCGTGTGTGCGTGTGTGTGTCTCGGCAGTGCTTCTGTGCTGAACTATCTGTGCCTTAAGTGTTTGTCCTTCCCCAGATCAATGGATTCATTACAAGCAAAGCCCATGATTGCAACTCCCCAGATCACACACCATTGTCTGGCATTGTGAAGTGCTGTTGACACTGGCTTGTTCATCCAGCCCCTAGTCCCTGGGTAAACACTAGAGCTCCTAGTCCCTGGATAAACACTAGAGCTCCTAGTCCCTGGGTAAACACTAGAGCTCCTAGTCCCTGGGTAAACACTAGAGCTCCTAGTCCCTGGATAAACACTAGAGCTCCTAGTCCCTGGATAAACACTAGAGCTCCTAGTCCCTGGATAAACACTAGAGCTCCTAGTCCCTGGATAAACACTAGAGCTCCTAGTCCCTGGATAAACACTAGAGCTCCTAGTCCCTGGATAAACACTAGAGCTCCTAGTCCCTGGATAAACACTAGAGCTCCTAGTCCCTGGATAAACACTAGAGCTCCTAGTCCCTGGATAAACACTAGAGCTCCTAGTCCCTGGATAAACACTAGAGCTCCTAGTCCCTGGATAAACACTAGAGCTCCTAGTCCCTGGATAAACACTAGAGCTCCTAGTCCCTGGATAAACACTAGAGCTCCTAGTCCCTGGGTAAACACTAGAGCTCCTAGTCCCTGGATAAACACTAGAGCTCCTAG